TTCTGTCAAACGTCAACATGAATCAGCCGTAAGTATACATATATCCCCTCCCTTTCGAACCTCCCTCCCATCTCCCTCCCCATCCCACTCCTCTAGGTTGATACAGAGCCCCTGTCTGAGTTTCCTGAGCCATAACAGCAAATTCCCATTGGCCGTCTATTTTACATTTGGTGGAACTCATTGGAGTCTATTCTGTCCATTCTTGATGGTGGGTTATTGAAGTCTCCAACTCTTATTGTTGAATTGTTTATTTTTCTCTTCAGTACCATTCATTCTTGTTTCTTTTTGTCCCACTGTTGTTAGATACATGCATATTTATAGTTGTTATATCTTTCTGATGGATTGACCATTCTGTCAGTGTTTAATGTCTCTCTTAGTTTCTTTTACGGTTCTTTGTTTTAAAGTCTGTTTTGATTCATGTTAGTAAAACTACATCTCTCTTACGGTTATACTTTGCTTGGTGTATCTTTTTCCATTCTTTTACTTTAATTTACTTTAATTTCCATTCATTTACTTTAATGTATTTGTGTTTCTGAACCTGAATTTTTGTCTGTTGTAAGTAGCTTATAGGTAGAACTTGTTTTTGTGGTTTTTTTTTAATTGCAGTTTGATAACTTTTACCTTTGATTAGAGTTTTGAATTTATTCACATATTTAAGTTTTTTATGATTGGATTTATGTCTGCCATTTTGCTATTTATTTTCTTTTCTGTTTTCTGACTCATGATTTTTGTTCCTCTGTTTTCTATTTACTGCTTCCCTTTTAAGAAAAATTAAATAGATATTTTCTAGTGTACTATTTATAATAAATTAGTGATTTTTAACTCTTTGAAAATTATTTTCTTAATGGTTGCCCTGGGAAGTCTTTTATTATCTGTTCTTTTGTGTGTTTCTACTTACAGGTCCCCTTGTCTTTGTGCATTGGTCATTGTATTTGAATACTTCTCTGTGGAGTTAATTTGAGGCCATGGATGAAAGTTCTTTGCCTCAGAGATTTTCCTCCTCTTCTTCTAGGTGCCTGGGAGAACCACCATCCTGGGACCCTTGTTATCCTGTTTGAGACTTCTGGGCCCTGTTAGGCTACATATCTCATTCACCTCTTGAGGTAACCTGCCGTGACCTGAGCTCAGAACTGTTGTGGGTTGAATAGCAGGCCCCACCCCCACTCCCAGTCTTGAGCAGACCCTTGGCTCTGATCTCCAGTCCCTGCAGCCTGGCAGGGTTACCAGAACCATGGGTCAGAGTTTAGCTATTTCTTGTAGATCAGTGAGGACTTGAGAGTAGAATTGGCTTGTTTCCTCTCTCAGCTGATGCGTCTCAGAGATTTGGACTCAGTCCCCCACTACCTTGTTCACTCTGCTTAAGACTCTTTCAGTATCTTTGGTAACTCTGTGTGCCATTAGCCTGTCACTTCTGCAAGTGGATGTGGAGGCATTTTGACCTGGGTGTGGGTCCTGCCCTGCCATGACTTAGTTACTCAGGCTAAGTAGCAGATCACAGAAGACAGCTTCTTTCAAGCAGACCCGCTTCCCCTGTGTCTCTGGCTTCGGGAAAATGTAGGTGGGTCACGTACGTGAGTCCCTAACACTGTGCTTTGGAAATGGGCTCTCAGCGTGCAGGTGGGGTTTCCTCTGTTCTCTCCCCTGTCCTCAGGGTCCTCTGCGTGAAGTGTGCATCCTGAGGTTGAGGTGTGACCAGGGAATTTCTACCTGTGTCTTCAAATCTTGTCCATAAGTCACGCATAAGGAGACTTAACAGAAACCACCACATCGACCTTGCTTTCTTCACAGATCTTCTTGACTGTAGACTGTTATTTCCTTCATGTACAAGTGGTTCCTCCTGCCCCTCACCCATCCTGGGAGTTGGTCATCCCTGGGGGTCCACAGCCTCGCTCCTTCAGGACCACCCTCTATTCAGAAGCTACTGAACTCAAAGATGCAGGTTTCTTTTAACTCAAATTCTTTGACCAGATTAGTTTTTCTCTACCCAACATTCTTATGGTCAGAAAGGGAACAGTGTTTCATCTTGAATTAGTGTTATTTTTATAATACATTAAAATTCTTTCCCCTTGGCTGCCAAGGACATTTCTTACCTGGTTATCATTGTGGAATCTTGCACACTTTCGGCAAATAAATATGGAGGTTTTGAACCCTCCCTCCTGTGGTAGGGAAAGTCTGTCTCCAGATACACCTTGGGATCAGGACATGCAGACTCTGGGTTTTTGTAGTTCATACTGATGACCTTTTATATCCATCCTGTAGGCCCCCTCCTGTTTGCATTGCAGATACCAGCTGACTTTTATTAAAACCAGCTCCTGGTATTGGGTACCAGCTGTGAGCACAGTGACCTTGACCAGAGCGGGCCCCTCCCTGGGATGGACATCGATGAAAGGCAGTGGGATCACAGCAGAAACACATCTGGGCTTGTTATTAAAATATCACATCACTTTTCATGTATAATAAAGATCTTTTCATGCTCCCATCTTTCAGCATGTTTTTCCTCTTTCAAAATGGTCTTGAGAGAGCAAGGAACTTATCTATAATCTGCAGTCACTGTGCAGCTGAGACAGTCTGTTACCCTGTTACGCTATCACTTTTTGACTTGAATGTTTACTCATTGTGTTCATCCTTGACCTTCTCAGCTTAGGGTCAGGGGTGTGTTAAATGTCTCCTGTATTCCCCTTGTACTTGCAGATGTTCACTTTATTCAGACACCTATCAGCAGAGGTGATAGAAGACTGTATTAGAATGTTCTTGAGAGCTAAGACTTTTTGTGTAAATCTTTGAGCTGTAAAACTGGACCTGTGTTCAAATTTTAATCCTGACGTGTAATTGCTATGAGATCTTGAATGGATTCTGTAGAGATTTCAAACCTTGGTTTCCTTGGCTACAAAATGGGGATAATACTAGCTGCTCTGCCTCCAACTGTATAAGATGGTGATAAATAGGAAAAAAAAAAAGGAGTGTTGTGTAAATGGTGAGGTGAATTGAAAATACAATTCCGCCCTGAACAGACACTTCATTTACTCAGCAAATATTTTTGAGGTCCAGCCAAATACAACAGCTGAGCTGGTTCACACACGATACCCATTGCAGTGGATATCTTGGTGTCATCGAGTATGTATGGGAACTAGAGGCCAGAGGCTTGTGGTGGTGTTCCCGGGGTTCTCACCTGAGTTGGAGGAAGTGGGGCTTGCGTGTGTGGTGCTGCCACTGCACAGGGTCCCGGGGCGGTCATGCTGTGGGCAGAGGCCAGCCCTGACCCTGACCCTGACTGTGGCTTCCTCAACCCTCCCCACTTTCACTTTGAAACACTTGCCTAGTCCTGTGCTGACCTGTGCACCTTCCCACTTGCAACCAGGAGTGGGGACTGGTTTAGGAAACCCTCAGAACTTCTAGGATTCGGCATGAGGCCCCCAGACACGAAGTCACTTTTCAGGAATTTGATCAATAGACCTCCCCTTTCAGGGAAATTTCCCTCTTTTGTCTCTGCCCTGCCGCCTTTCTGTACCCTTTGTGGGAGAGAAATAGGCTGAACTCTAGCATAGCTTCTTTTTATTCTCCTCACATTGCTCACCCCACCCCCCATCCCCCACCCGCTACCCCACCACCACTTCAATTTTCCTTGTTTTCCTTTTTACTGTCTGAGCAGCCAGGGAAGCCACCCTGGTTTTCCTTTTTAAGGTTCCCAGCTGTGGTTGACCACGCACATGCCCGCACGCGTGGTCCTAATGGGAGCCAGGGAAGGATTTGGGCCTGGAATAGGCAACTCCTCCATTCCTGTTCTGGCAGCTTCCTCCCTGCGTTTCTGTTCCTGTCTGCTGAGGGCGCCGCTGTGCCTGGAGGGGCCCCTGCCCTGTCCATCCCCTTCTTCTCCCTGGCCTCTCCCTCCTCCTTCCCTCCCCCTACCCTCCCTCCTCCTCTTTCATCACCTCCTTCCCCCTCCTCCTCACATTAGCCACAAGCTTCCTCTCAGCTTACTTCATCTGCAGTTCATTCGATTAGCACATTAGCTCATGAGGCCATGTTGAAGAAATACAAATACAGGTCTTTTAGTTTATCTCATTGTTCAGTTTAAAGATAAATATCTTCCCAATGATATTTTTAGCTCTTCTATTGGGCATATTGGTACCATATTTGAATTTTTTTTAATCAATTTAAAGCAGTTTTAAAATTGTGAGATGAAACATACCTATAGAAAAATACACAGAACATACATGTACACTTTAAAGATTAATTAGGAAGTCAATACACATGTATTTACCTCTCAGCAAGTAACTGCATTGCTAATACTTAAGAGGTACACCCTGACCCCCTCCCTACAAAGTCACCACTATTCTGACTTTGGGATTATAATTTTCTTGCTTTCTTTATGGTAGTTCATATTATATGTGTGTATCTTAAATAATCAGGTTAATTTTACTTGACTTTGAATTTTAAATAAATGGAGTAATACTATATATATTCTGTTGTCTTGCCTCTTTCACTCAGCATTATATCTGTGAAATTCACTTATGTGTGTGTAGCTGTCGTTCACTCTCATACCTCAATGGTATTTGACTGTAGCGAGGCACACAGTTTACTTACCTTGGCTGGTTTCTGTGAATATCAAGCTGTTCCCCATTTTGAACAACACTGTGGTGAACGTTTCTCTACATCTCTCTGGTGCGTTATGTGTAAGCCTTTTTCTGCCCATGGGGTAAATAAAGTTACTGGCTCTTGGGAATCAGAGTCTCCATCTTGCTGGACATGCCCCACTGTCTTCCTCAGATCCTCGTTCCTCCCAGCTGTGTGGTTCTTACTGGAATCGTCCAACTTCTCACTCATGCTACGCTGCCTCCTGGGCAGTTGAGTTTCCCGGATGACTGATGGGGTCATGGGTCACTGGGAAGCGTCTGCGCTGCCTGTTCTGGTCTTCTGCCTGCTTTGCAGTCAGGCTGTCTGTCTTCTTGCTTGTTTGTCAGAGTTGCTTCCTGGAGTTTCAAGTGTGTTCTCCCCTGCAGGACGACGTGATGATGCCTCAGAGAGTGAGGCTGCAACACGAAGCCGCTTTGCGACACCCAAAAAGTGTAAGTATGGATGTTTATGCATGTCTCTACAACTTTTGGTAGAAATGCCATTATAGTTTTTTAGATTAAGATTCTTCCTTAGGATTGAAAGAGTCAGTTTGCAGTCAGACTGCCCTCTTGGAGAAAGATGTGTGCCTAGTGTCTCCACGCTCATGGGTGCTTTTCTTTCAAGAAAAATGTGCTTCTTGTTTTGAATAGCACTTGTTACCTTCAAATGGGTCCAAAGGATTTTTTAATTTATTTTTTGGTTTGGTTTAGTTTTATCAGCATTTTTAGAAGCTGTGTACCTTGGACATGAAAATAGATTGAGAGCTGTAGGGTGTATCAGCTTTAAAAAATCTTATTATCTGCATAACCTCAGACTGCACTCTTAGCTTTAGAATGGCTTCCACATTGGCTTCCATGAGTGATGCTCCCCAGGACCCGTCCTCCAGGCAGGGAGGCTCACATCCCCCCGCAGGAGCCCCATGTAGGGGAGCACATCCCACCCACTTAAACTTGGAAGGACATCTCAGGCCCATGAGTCACTCGCCCCCTTGAGGCTCAGGGTCCAGGGTGGCCCAGGCGGCTGATCCTCAGACCTGGTGTTTGACCACAGGACTCACTGCTCAGATATCTATGCTGAAGTTTTAGTAAAAACATCTTTGAATCACTGGTCTTGAGAGTGGGAAGGAGAAAGGTCCAGAACTGTCTTAGATGCATGGTGCCTGCTGAGGAACGGCCCCTGGGTTTTGCTCACTTCTGTCCCTTTGCTGTGTCCGCACACCAAAGTGTCTGCAGGTCATGAATGCACAAGCCCCTGAGATCTGATCCTGGTTGTCTGTGAGTCCTGAGACTTTGCATTTCTCACGGGCTCCAGGTGCTGTATTTGAGGTCTGACTATTGCCACTTGGCCTTCATGAAGGAGAGAGCTGGTTCCTGGGACAGGGTTCAGGACTCAGAGCATGCACCCCATGAAACATATACTAAGAAAAAGGTTCAAAAAAACACTTCCTTCAGATAGTTTCTCAAGGAGTTTGAAGGATGATTTTTCATCCAAGATGAATTCTTTCTCTTCCAGTAGCCCCTCATTTTGGAGCTCTGAATTTAATCTGCTGATTTTCTCCTTTTAAGAAACAAAGATCTGTATAGTAAAAGCTATGGTTTTTCCAGTAGTCATATGTGAGAGTTGGGCCATAAAGAAGGCTGAGCACCAAAGAATTGATGCTTTTGAACTGTGGTGTTGGAGAAGACTCTTGAGAGTCCCTTGGACTGCAAGGAGATCAAACCAGTCAATCCTAAAGGAGATCAGTTCTGAATGTTCATTGGAAGGACTGATGCTGAAGCTGACACTCCAATACTTTGGCCACCTGATGCAAAGAGGTGACTCATTGGAAAAAACCTGATGCTGGGAAGGATTGAGGCAGGAAGAGAAGGGGACGACAGAGGACAAGATGGTTGGATGCTATCACCGACTCAATGTACATGAGTTTGAGCAAGGTCCAGGAGATGGTGAAGGACAGGGAAGCCTGGCATGCTGCAGTCCATGGGTTCGCAAAGAGTCAGACACGACTGAGTACCTGAACAACAACAAAGAAATGTACCCCTCATGCTCTGTCTCTGACAGCCCAGCCCCACACCCGTGACTAGGACTCTAGGACCTGGCTGTCCTGTGAACACACCTGTGCACTCCTCCTGAGAGCTTCTGTTGTCTTTTCATGGAATAGGTGATGTTCACAATCTTAAGTTTGATGTTGAGGATTCTTATTCCCTAAATTGTAATTGCACTTATATTGCTTACATTTAAACATAGTTAATATAAACAAGTCCTTGAAACATGCCTGTAAGAAGATAAAAACAGCTGTCAGCTATGTCTTGAGAGTCTACTCCACTGTTCCTCAGGCTGGACATTTCCAGAAGGCTGGACTTGAGGGCTCGAAAGTGCCCAGCTGCTCCTTTATTGACAAGTGGCCGTTCGGCCAAGGTAGCATCAAGGGAACCACTGTGTGAGCTGGGGGCTGGTATTGCCAACTCACCAGGGCTGCTGGAATCCTTGGGCTGGGCCCCCATGGCCCAGAGTCTGTCTGTGACCAGGAGGTCAGGGGTGGTCGTAACTAGACCAGCCTTTGGAAAGGAACCCATATCCTCTACTCTGGTCCAGAACCAGCACTGCCTACCAGAAGCTGCTCCTAGTGCTCCCAGGTCCATCTGCAGTGTCTCAGAGGTCTGCTCTTCCCAGCAAACCCCCCTGCATGCTGACCAGGGCCTGTGGGTTTGTATGTGTCCTTGCCCTAGCCACCTCCCAGCTTCCCACAGGTGGACATTCCAGGCTTCCAGGGCCTTGGAGCTGTCCGAATGGGACCAGGCTGCAGTCCCTTTTTGGGTTGTGCCAACGTATGACACTAGCCTGCCTGCAGACCTGCTCTATCTGTGGGTCCTAGGGGACCCCCATGAGGCTGTGGGTGCAGCTGAGGGAGAGCTCGGAGCCACAGGTGGGTGACCTGGGACCTCCACCCTCGTCTGCATGGCTACAGGGCCACTCGACCTCATGCTTCGGTGGTCTGAGAGTGCCCAGCTGCTGGTGGGCAGTGTGACCATGTGCCCCGGCCACATCTCGTTGAACGGCCCACAGCTCTGTGTCACAGGGTTCTGGGGTTTGTGCTATGACAGCCCCGTTGGGCTGCCGGTCCCCATGTTGTTGACCACCACCAACTTCCTCCAGGGGTCTGCAGCCTGAGGGCCAGACAGCAGGCCTGTGCTTCTCCAGACCCCTCTCTCAACAAGGGTCAGGGGTAAACAGGACCCCAAGAGGGCCAGGGAGACTGCCCAGTCCTGTGCCTCTCTCTCCATGGACCCTCACCTCAGAGAGGGAGACGTGGTGCCCAGACCTCTGGACCCGAAAGTCTTGCTCACCAGGTGCCACAGATGTCCTCACAGAATGGCCAGTGCGGGAATGTCCAGGGTGCAGACCACTGAACGTTGTGAAGACAGCAGAGAGGGTCCCTACTGCTGACTTGCTGATGCAGCATGTAAGCGAGACGAGTGCTTCTGCAGGGATGTGTCAGGACCAGCACCCCCATCCTTCAAGCCTCTGAGATGGCCCAGTCTCAGCCTTTTCCTCAGAATGTGATATGGTGTTCGATTTACACTCACCTTGCCTTTCTCTTACATGCATCCCTAATCACATTCCAGGGAACCCCGGGAGGGTTCGGCCGGGCACTGAGCCTGTGCTCTCTGGTTACACCTTCAGGACCCCGGAAGTGGTCACTGGTAGGACCTGTGTGCCCCTGAGCCCAGGTTATTACCTGACCCATAGACCCTTACTCCAATGGGCATGATGGGTCTGGTGTCACCTGTGTCCTGTGTCCAGCTGCCTCGTATGATCGGTGACCCCTCCTAGCCTTACATCATGCATCTTGAGTGCGTCACCCTTGGCATCCTAGGTCCATCCTCATGGGTGGGGTCTCTCCCTCAGCCGGTGGGCTTAAGTCCGAGAACTGGTCCAGGTCTAGAAATATCAGAGGTGCTTTTCACATAACTGGAAACGGCACACAGTTTCCAAGCATTGAGAACATATTTTACATTGAAAGAATTCTGTGTGAAGAATTTTGTAACCAGCGTTGACATTGTAGAGAGTGAGATACTTTTAGATCTATTGTTCCCCCCACTTTTTTGTGTTTGGTTCACATGTGAAGTTACTTTTGGCAGTTCTCCACTGGAAAAGGTCAGTTTTCATTCCACTCCCAAAGGCAATGCCAAAGAATGTACAAACTACTGTATATTTGCGCTTATTTCATGTGAGCAAGGTAATGCTCAAAATCCTTCAAGCTGGGCTTCAATAGTATGTGAACTGAGAACTTCCAGAGGTACAAGCTGGGTTTAGAAAAGCCAGAGGAACCAAAGATCAAATTGCTAACATCCGTTGGATAATACAAAAAGCAAGGAAATTCCAGAAAACATCTACTTCTGCATCATTGACTATGCTAAAGCCTTTGACTGTGTGGATCACAACAAACTGTGGAAAATTCTTAGAGATGAGAATACCAGACCACCTTACCTGCCTCCTGAGAATCTGTATACAGGTCAAGAAGCAACAGTTAGAACCAGACATGGAACAATGGACTGGTTCAAAATTGGGAAAGGAGTACATCAAGGCTGTATATTGTCACCCTGCTTATTTAACTTATATGCAGAGTACATCATGTGTAATGCCAGGCTGAATGAATCACAAGCCAGAATCAAGATTGCCGGGAAAAATATCAACAACCTCAGATAGGCAGTGATACCACTCTAATGACAGAAAGAAAAGAGGAACTAAAGATCCTCTTGATGAGGGTGAAAGAAGAGAGTGAAAAATCTGGCTTAAAACTCAACATTCAAAAAACTAAGATCATGGCATCCGGTCCCATCACTTCATGGCAAATAGAGAGAAGAAGTAGAAACAGTGACAGATTTTGTTTTCCCAGGCTCCAGAATCACTGCAGTGACTGCAAACATGAAGTTAAAAAGATGCTTATTCCTTGGAAGAAAAGCTGTGACAAACCTAGACAGCATATTAAAAAGCGAGACATCACTTTACCAACAAAGGTCTGCATAGTCAAAGCTATGGTCTTTCCAGTAGTCATGTATAGATGTGAAAGTTGGACCATAAAGAAGGCTAAGCATTGAAGAATTGATGCTTTCAAATTGTGGTGTTGGAAAAGATTCTTGAGAGCCCCTTGGATTGCAAGGAGATCAAACCAGTCCATCATAAAGGAAATCAACACTGAATGTTCATTGGAAGGACTGATGCTGAAGCTGAAGCTTCAGTACTTTGGCCACCTGATGCAAAGAACTGACTCATTGGAAAAGACCCTGATGCTGGGAAGGACTGAAGGCAGGAGAAGGGGGCAACAGAGGATGAGATGGTTGAATGGCATCACTGACTCAATGTACATGAATTTGAGCAAGGTCCAGGAGATGGTGAAGGAAAGGGAATCCTAGCATGCTGCAGGCCATGGGGTCGCAAAGAGTTGGACACG